CACTTTTATGCCCCCCGTTGTTTGTTTCACTAGCCCCGGGAATCTTTTTATATTTGTCGCATTAGTTTTGTTTTTTTACCCCCCCCCCCCGCCCGCCCCCCCCCCCCCCCCCCCCCCCCTTTTTTTTTTCTCACGGTGATTACTAATTTTCGTAGTCCGAATTCTCTATATCCGCCATATCGTCCTTCTCTGCGGAGTATGGAACGAGTCTACGTTTCACTATGCAGCCTTACCATTGGCTGATACCAACGACCACACTTCCAGGACTGGAGAGGTAGTCATCGGCGACAGATTCACCCACACTGGATTGTCAGGTTCACAACTAGCTGCTCAGATGAAGAAATTTACCATTCAACCGCTGATCCTCCCCCCAGCCGCCCCTGGCGATATGATCATAAGAAGGCATTCCACAGCATACCAATGGTCAAGCCGGACGCTAAATAACGTCAGCATATCTTTCATAGACGGCGTAATTAGGCCGCACTATAGTTCTTTAAGCGGCACTTTATTCTGCTACGAGTACGGTCCTGACACGAACCGCATGTTCTCAATTGCCTTGGTGCGTCTCAGCGATCTAGACCACGACCACGACGAGCTCAGTGATGGAATAAAATGCGCGCCATTGAGATTCTGCCTACACCCGGTCAAAGTCTCGCCACTACAGAATCCTAATAACCCGCTCCTTACCATAGTAGACAAGCAAAACGATCCCACGGCAGAGGGGACAAGAGAGAAGTTCCGCCCGTTGACGTACAAAACGACTGAGCAAGCATCGTCCTACTGCTTCGACAGCTGGAGGGACATGAAATACTACCACGACATGGCCGTGCCCCAAGACGAGTGGAATATCAGCATCCTCGGCATGGCGGACATATACATCAACGTGACGCGCGTCAGTCTCGACGAATACGACAGCGACGACGAAGACGAGGGGGATGAGGACATGAGACATCGGTTCGTAGATGTATTAGACATCATCGTGAAGGCCAATCAAGAAAATGAGGAAGAGGTCAACGGGACCGCGGCTGAGGACAAGGAATCGTCATGATAGCAAATCTAGTCATGTATATGAATATATTTATGAATATATACGATCACCCCCCCTTTCGCAGCATGCCAATAAACAAAGGGCAGGCAGTCTATCTATCTACTACGTATATGAGAATTTTTGACGCAAAACAATCCATTATCGCCCCGTGAAATACACGCAACAGCGACACAGCGCAGTAGCCAAGCCAGTAAAAACAAGGCCCGACCGCAGATTGTGCGCTATAGTTGGTTCTACTTTTCAAACTATAGTGTTAACTATTGAGGAGAGACAGCATATGGGCCCCTGATCCTTGAAGAGACATATGTGGCCTGTGGTAAGTTACTCAGATAGTTTTCTTGCTACATTATCGGTTAGTTCCACTAGTATACACCCTTGGGCACGCCGTGTCGGGCTTGAGTACAGTTTTGCTACTATTGCTCTATTTGAGTCAACCTAAGCCATAGAAATGCAGACAACATCTACGAGGAGCCGTTGTAACTTTGTAGATGTCTTGGGAGTTGAAGATGTGAATTTCCACGATGACTAAACTGATAGCAGTATGTGATACTCTCAAGAATGGGATTCTATCATAGGTAATCAATCACGGATAGTCTCGTGGCAAGGATGACTAGTATAACCGCATATTCCAGGCCACCAGGCCATGAACGTGAACACAGTGTCACATCATCAACATTGTGTTATATCATGAATCTCATTCCATATAATCCTTCCTGGGCCCAAATGCGTCCAATACGTTCAGAAACAGATACCATGCGCCCGAAAAATGAAAGACAGAATTCCGAGCAGTCCATTAAAACATTTACTGCATCTTTTTCCTCTTGCCAACCTGGGCTGTGAAACCACTCTTGATAGCGGTAACAGAACGACGCGAACCGCACTAGATAGAAAGTAAGTATAAGTCCCTCGCGAACATGAGACGGTTGACTTCTTAAGGGGTGGCGCAGCTCCACCGAGGCTAGTCTTTCTTGCCATCGAGGAGCAGACAGGATAACTCAGATATTGAGAATTAGTACGTACACTATTGCAAGTCATGAAATCTAAATCCTTTTCGTTAGTTATCTTTCCACTTGCAATCTCATGACGTTGGTATGTGGATTTGTCCATGGCTATGCCAGGTTGCGAATTTGCGGGGAAATAAAGGGTTTGAACTCACATAGACGGTTCTCTCCCTTCTCGAGGGTTGTGTCGGGACTCTTGCAAGTACGACATGTGACGTACTCGATGATGTATTTCCTTAACATACTCTCAAGTTGTTTCCTGCATTGTTTTAGTCGTTGTATCAGAGTGCTACGGTAGTAGAAACATACTGTTGGAAGCGGCCCTTGATAACCAAACGTTTTGATCCGTCCACTGAGCCACTGTTGCCATTTCAGTCAGCACCGTAGAAAATATGTAGAACATGGCAATAGAGCGCTCCGGTGATTAAACCAAAAGCGCAATCATGTAGCATGTACTCACGTTGTACCTAATTCCGTGAACTGAGGCCAGTTAGTAAATCACGTCTCTGCGGATATAAGAAAGTGAAGACAGAAAGCGGAAGACTTACCAGATAGGCGGTAACATGTTCCGAGCTTCGCTTCACTGTAGATTTGTTAGCGAGTGATCTCAAGAAAAGTTGCACGTTGGTGTGAGATTCGAAAGTCTCTATCTGCACTCACTTCGCTTCGTGATTTCTTCAATGTTGGCAAAAATCGTCTTTTTGTTGCCTTCACGAAGGCACTGAGGAGGTGGGATCTTGTAGCTTCGAGAGCCTGTAGAAGCGTGGTCGGGGTTCTTCTCGGCAAGTTGACTGTAGAAACGATCCAGGAGCATGCTATAGGGGATGGGGGTTGTCTGGTCATGTTGCCAGATACCAGTGCCCTTCTCCGGATCGCCAGCTTGCTCATCTCCGTTGTCTTCACCCTCTTTATCGAGGTTCAAGGCAGCCAGTTTGGCGGCGAATTCATCATCATTCGTCTTGGGCTTCTTCTTCTTCTTTTTCTTGAGCGTTGGGTCAATACCACCATCGGCGGCAGCGGCGTCGTCGGCGGGCGCCTCGCCATCCTCGGCAGCGTCCTTCTTGGGCTTCTTCTTCTTCTTCTTTCCAAGATCTAGGGCGCCACCATCCTCAGGTGGTGTTGTAGGCTCCTCTTCTTCAGCAGGGGTGGAATGAGAGATGGCGGTGGCCTCCTTGTTCTCCTCGGTGGACGACATGGTGAGCTGTCCGTCGGGCTGAACTACAATAGCTTCGGAACTGAAGACGACGGATTTGCGCGATTTGCGGTCGGGTAAATTAGGCCGCTCTTCCTGAATAGCGGATTAGTATGTGGTGACCCTGTTGTGAAAAGGTCGAATGTTTGCAGAGGTGAGGTAACGTTGAGAAACAAGCTAAGAGATGGAGATGTGCGATGACCCAATAGGAAGGAAGGGCAATACCTGCAGGTTAGGTGATCACGTGCTTGCAGAGATGGAAATTGCTAGACGAGGAGGAGGCAAGAGCAGAGGCGAAATAGAATTATGTTGCTGGCGTGACGATGACTCTTTTTGGAGCTTGAGTCATGAATTTCTAAAGAGACGGTGGTTTTTGGTGGGGCGCACAGAGCTGGGACTGGATTGGAGGGGGAAAGAGGGCCGGGGGGGGGGAGGGGCACGCACTGAAGCCTCCTGGCTGACTGTCGAGCTGTGGACAGGGGATGCGATAGTGGGTGGTGGTACCACACTGGTACGGGACGGGGCAGAGGGGGGTGTGTAGGCGATAAGACGGGCAGCGACAGGTCACAGGCAGCGTAGCGTGGTAGGACAAGAAGAAGCAAGAAGGAAGCACGGACGGGATGGGTGAGCTACTACCTACACTAGTGAAGGAGAGAGGCGAGAGAGGGTACGGAGTAGAGGGGGAGATGGAAAAAAGACAGTGCGACATGACAACACATTACACATGTAACAAGTGAATAAACGGGAGGAGGGCTGGCTTACACTTGCGGTGTCTGGGGGATCCATGTTGCTTGAACACCTCGTTCAGGCGGCGTGTATGCGACTGGCTGCGTGCGACGAGCTTGTTGCGCTGGATATGAGACAGACGACTAACCCTTAGGTGGACGAGATTTCGAGGAATCGGCTGCAACTTGTTGTTGTTGTGATGTTTCTCTTTGAATAGGTAGGAAGTTGGAGGAGAGGAGTCAGGATGGGCTGGGCTGGGCTGGATAACAGCGATGACGAAGGGTGCGATAGAGTATATAATAATGTTTCGAGAAACTCTAAGCATGCGAAGCCAAGTAAGTAGTACATAGATACATCGAATGCCTCCAGGTGCCCATCGTCGACGGCCCGTCAGAAGCCTCGACCGCCGCCCTTCCGTGAAAATGTCCAGTAAATACATCTATATCTACCTTATGTGGGTAGCGGAAGTACATGCTGATACCAGCTGGTAAGCCGTATCTTGCACTGCTAGCAATGTGCCTCAGATGTACCTTCGGTAGTAGGTAATGGTGTCTCCATTTCAGTTTGACAGCACCGCTATCTCCGATCCCGCAAAACCGGCCTGCAATTGAAGGTTATCGACAACAGCCCTCTAACTGCCAAGCCCGACTGACGACATCTACGAAGAAGCGCAGTAGGTACTCGTCGTCCAACAACGACGTCCTCGCCCACCAGCGAGCTTCAAGCTTTACGCCGAACGCGTCCCATCCCCGTCACACTCTCTTCCTCGTCTTCCTCCGGCGGCCCAGTCAGATGTATTATCAGGCTTCCAGTTAGCAGCGCTCCGAACGCTGCTTTATCCCCGAACCTACGTACAGCCCGCAACATCGCCTGCCCCGAGCGACATCATGTCTCTCTCCGACTCCTTCGCCATACCTGACCTCTCCGTCTCTGATCTGGACGACGTCGACTCTCTGCCCTCGTCTTCTACCGAAAGTTTCGAGTCCGACGATGACTACGATGCCCAGAAAGAGTGGGAACAGAGCCTCGAGCAGCTCCAGCTCCTCCTAACAATGATACTAGTCCCTTTTGCCGGGAAGTATTTTGGTCGCAAGTTCGCGTATTGGAGTACGTCGGCGCTAGCTTTCCCCTGGACCTCGTTCTTCATGTTGTACTGACTTGCCGATGCAGGCTGGGCACGTTACATGGAATGGGCGCATGACGTCGAAATTAATTGGACGAGCAAAAAGACATTCAAAGTCGTGGGCGCCGCCGAGGCAGCTGCAACTCTTTGAATGATTAGCCACATAGAAACATATGAACATTACGAGAGCCTGGGATTAATCGATGCTCCCCGCTCTGTACATTACGGATCGATGATATAAACATAATACCAAATATCGTGAACCCAGAATACCGCGAACTGAGTCCCGCCAATATCAATTCTTGATCAAGCTTCACTGTCTCCGAGCTCCTTCATCTACGTGACATATGATGTGTCCTACCATGCGCTCTTTTAGGCTGTCAGGGGTACTGATTCATAGTATCAATAAGGGTCATGAGAAGTGATTTTGAAGGTTATCTAAGCTTCGCTTCTACTCCTTGTCTTGGTCGGCACAGCGAAAACACTACTTGGGTACCCTAAGCGCTAGGCAGCTATGTAGTATGTTACCGGTCCAAATAAGAACTATTCACATATTTGCATATCCTAAAAGTTCCTATTCCTACTTGACACGTTGAAATTTATCCGCAAACTGTAGCTTTAATATATTGCTACTGTGCAAATATAGCCTTCAAACAGAAACTATGTTGTAGTAGAGATGAATGGTTCCACCATTGATTTGGTATAGCTTCATCTTGGCTTGCTGATTAGTTAACCATACATCAATCATCATAGAGAACTATGTGTATGCACTGTAGAAATGAGCACGATATTTCGAAGACGATTACTATTCCCTACTCTCGCTCTCAACCCCTAATCCGCATTAGGTTCGCATAACCATAATAACTAATCGTACATCTGGTATCTCATATTACTGATCCGTTATATATATCCCTCTTGCATCCAGAATATCAACCTAGAACCTATTACATCTGGTTGAGTCGCTCCTTGGCACTCTCCTTAGCCTCATCAGAGACTCTGGGGTTGTTGATAGTGGCCTTAAGACCTCTCGCGACGTTGTTGGGGTTCTTGTCTTGGTTGTCGCTGGCACCGGGGACTATATGATATGATCAGTAGCGTTCTTCCTTCCATCATCATACGATATGGTATATATCCATATAATGTATGTGAATAAGGTAGTAAGCTTACCGTCGCCGCCGCTGAACTCCTTGTCAAGAACTTCGCGAGAGTGCTGCTTGGCCTCGTCAGAGGTCTTAGGGTTGTTGATGTTGGCCTTGTGACCGCCGGCGACCTGAGCTTCAGAAGCCATTTTGGAGTATGTTTGTTTGTTAAAAGTAAAAGGTGAGATAAGTCTTTGGCGTGCGGATGAGACGATTCTGTGCGTCGATTGCATCTGGTGGTGATATGAATGTGATTATTGAGTGCTGATTGTTGACGGGTGGGATGAACGCGTTAGCAACTTTAGCTGGAATCTCTTGAGTTTTTATGCTTCAATTCAGGACTGATACTCGGTTCTTTTCTGCTGGGATATTGGCTAATCATAGGTGTATTCTGCAGCAAAGCTGTCCTCCTATGCTCATATATTGCCTTACGACTCGGTTATGACGCCAATGACTATGTGATAGCTCGAGTAATATCATCATCACTCAGCAACTAATACGCAAAATGGATAGCAACTGACGTTGATCTCTCTGGAGAACAGGCAATAGACAGTAGATGGACACGGATGGCAGTTCCGATAACATGGATCTGTGGTATTATTCAGTAATTGTCAAAGGTCTGGAAGTATCACGCTTGACCAACCTGAATATAATTAACCCTACATAAGTGGCAATCCGACTGCGTAGTGAATCAGCTACTGCTTGCTCTAAGTTTATTGGCTCAGGTAGGCCTTCCATATTCCATAGTGATGTTACTACTTCCAGCATTACTAAACACAAGGCTAAACTACACAGAAGCAGATGGAGGTCAAAGAATTGACACCAACCCCGACATTAGACCCAAGAGGTGATTCATGATATACAGAAGAGGCGGGAGGGCTTTGTCTCATGTTTCCTAAAACGGTGAGCTCTAACTGACCTATCATGCCTAGAACGATGACTCAGGATGTCAGATGAGGTTTGCCAACGCGTCAAAATACACCAAGAAAAGCTTAATACCCTGTAAGTAATTATCAGATCACATATGATAGCAATGAAGCTTTCCGTTCTTCACAGGTCGATAGCCCACCAAAACAAATACCTTCGTTCACGTTCAAACCCTTGATGAATTAGTGGATTAACTTCAAGGAAGGGTCCGACCATACGGTATTCGAGAGGTCGGATAACATGGGATTCGGCACGATCGTGCACAATCCTCAAAGGTACGATCTCCAGACCCAACTTAGTCTGATCGTTTGGCCATTTCAACTCTCTAAGTGGCCAGCTGAAGTGCTAGCTTGGACAGAGATCGGATTGTCATTAGGCTTGCAAGGTGGAAGCGTAATGATTTCCCTGTCGATCAACGTGATGCAGGGGGTCGAAGCTCACAATCGAGAACCTTGGAAGGATACGAAAATGTACGGCGAGCCTAAAGAATACTGTATTGTGACTACCTACATTTCTCATGTTCGCATACATCGGATTGTCCATAAGTGGATTGATTGCGGCCTCGTGAAACTTGATGAATCATCAATCGTACTAGAGAGAAACCGAAAAGAGCATAGGTCAGTATCTACTCTCCTTCCACAAAGATTGTTTTCGTGTCGTAGTTTGAGTTACGATCTACGTAGATCATCGGCGGTGGATGGCATAAACATCGCGAAGCCTCGGGGACTGGATCAACTTAGCATTGATTTCGTTTTTTCAGTTTTGTGTTAAAAGTGGTTCATCAAGAGGGCGTCATGGACAGGTTGTCTCGTTGAGAACTTAGCCACACTCTTGGCGGTCATCAAGCCATAGCCACTGTTAAGCCACAATTAAATCAGCCAACTCACCTCCTACTGATGGGCATAGTACAAGGACTAATCTATGTAATACTATCTATCTACTGTCAGAGACGAGTGTTGCTTGTCTGCTATGTCTTTCTAAAGATCAATATATCTCTCCTATAATGTCGTCATCAGTTGCACCACCTCATCCGCCAGCAATCAACTACGTGGCAGGCTTCCTGCTTGTCGGGATAGCTTGGGGGCTGACGACTCCCTTCATTCGTCGCGCAGCCAAGACTCACAACCCGCCTGCTCATCCACTCCTTGAGAGGGACGATGTCAAGGCGAGCTGGCTGAAGAGCAAGCTTTACGGCACGTTCTTCGCTGTCGTTGACCTGTTGCGAAATCCCGGATATGCCGTACCTCTCTTGATAAATCTCACTGGGAGTGTGTGGTTCTTCCTCCTCATCGGCCAGGCTGGTGAGTTCACTTGCTTGTAGATCCTGTAGACATTGGTGACTGATGAGTTTGTAGAGCTAAGCCTGACCGTTCCTATTGTAAACACATTGGCATTCCTATTCACTGTACTTGGTGACTGGTGGGTAGAGAAGAAAGTAATTGATCGCAGTGAGTTTCCATCAACCCCGTCTATAGAGTGAAGCATTTCTCATCAAGCGATAGATACATGGATTGGCATGATATTGTCATTGACTGGGATCGCATTATGCGTTCATAGCAAGTCGTGACTGAGGAATATATGTTTCTGTCATATCTGATGGCTCATCTGCGCTAGCGCTTGTTCGCTTTTAATCAGGACAAAAGTTGGGCGGTGTCCAGCAATTAGGTTGGGCTGAGTAAATACGGCCGTATTTGCCCAGCTTGCTGGTTGGCACGAAATCTCTAGCACGATCCGGCCCGACTATCAGAACAGGTCTCATCTATCCCACGAGGACATGCAGTGGGGAGGCTGATGCGTTGGTGTCACGTTCGAAAGATGTTTGTGCATCTATGGGCATGCTGCTGAACAAGGATACTCATATCGCCATTCTCCATAGGTAGACGTCATGCGAAGCCAAAATAGCAACAACAGAGAGAGCAGCAAACTCATACCTATTTACGCAATTTGTTTGCTGCGAGACATTAAGTCGGGATAAGGCCTTAACTACGTAGGATGAAATCCTGTAGTTTAATGCAATTGGCCTAAATGGCATGCTCGTCCACGTGGCCACTGCCTCGGTCAGTCAATGTACCTATGAATGGTTAAGTCTACCTCTACTAGAAGCAGAAATGACGCAGTCCTAGTTAAACAGCTATATATAACAGGCGCATTCCAATGAAGTCGACCTAATCATGCAGCAAAGAGCTTTTGGGACGAAACATCCTTGTTTTACACCTCATACTCAAGGACGGAGCTAAGTGAAAAAGAGCTGAAGGAGGACGAGGAAAGCGGTGACTCGTTGAATTGACTGTAGGCGCCACAGTGAAGCCAATACTCCCATACTTGGTATGAACCTACAGAGAAGTAGCAGAACTTTTGTGGGAAGCCAATTGCTTGCATGACAGGCACCGGAAAATGGCCCGCCCTCAAATAGCTGTCGGGCTTGTGTCCAGTGTGATAAAGGTATGAAGCGCCCAGCGCTGAATTGCACAGCCAGTGACAATCCTCTTCTCGTCTATTCGCCGCTGTGATAGGTTGTAGGCTTCATTGTTGAACCAGCTCGTTGGTTCCAATGACCGCAGCAAGACATCAATCCCGTTCCAAAAAAGGATCAAATTGTTCGTATCTGGGTAGTCAAAGTAGAGCGATAGAGGCGTGTTGTATTGGCGATGTGATAAAGCCTCCCAAGGTATCATAATCCCAACAGCTCGAGTTGCACGACATTTCCGCCGCAGAAGTCCGGCATACTTAGGAGTCACCGTGCTAGAACGGTAATAGCGTCCGAAAGTGGATTATTGTGCACCGACGGATCGTTCGCAGGAAATAGGGACGCGCTCGGATCGGCAAGGGATGGTGCGTTTTGGTCACGAAGGCCCCACAGATATTGATACGAGAATGTAAGGGTCTATGTTGATCCCTCAATTATATTGGACTCATTATATTGTAGTCATGCGCAACGCCAGGGCGCTTTCTTGAGAGTTGCTCTTGAGAAGAAACGAGGCTGGTACTGAGGTAGCGTAGTACCATATCTGTACCGTAGAAGAGACATCCGTGTTCAACATCTGGCTACGCCTACGCGTGAGTGGTGCATGAGCGAAACGGACTGGCACTCGTCTCGAAAAAGGGCCCTATCAACTGCCCTATGTTGGTAAAACAAGCACCAGAAAGCGCTAGTCCTTCGGGATCTGCCCACTCAGTATCGTCGGCGCATATCTGGAATCGTCATCCCTATTAGGCTGGGTACGGAGTAGTACGTACATATCCCTCGCAGGTATTACCACGTATCCATTCTTAATGGACTTCGCAAACTCCTTTGTACGCTACAATGAATCTGCAAACATGAATGATTCCCAATGCTTTTAATTGAACCTGGCAGAGTGAGGTGTAGACATGGGTACCATGAAACCCGGGACCCAGTTGGGCCCCGAAACAAAAGTCGCGCTGGTTACTATGGACCTACTATGTATGTAGAAACGGCCGGATCTGCAATCCCTCGATCCTAGCATAGCAGCATTACCTACCAACTTGGCCGCATGTTTGCTCCAATAAACAGCAACTTAGCCGTGTAAGTCCAGAAACGAACAGGGGTAGCATCGAACGGTTACATTTGCGGCAGGTATGCAACCACCGTTCATTGACGATCCACTGGCAAAAGGGGGCAAGGCTCAGGAATGCGACCAACATTGAATCTCGGAGAACCTAGTACATGTATATATAACCAAGCCCTTTGTCTCCGAATTGGGACAAGTTCTCACCTTGCTTTCCCATCTTGACCGCTTCATTTATCGCCTCAGAAGTCTCATAACGTCATTGAAATGCGCGCCGATATTCTTCTTACTGCCCTAGCGGGCGCGAGCTCCGCATCCGCCATGGTCATGAGGATCGCCGCCGAAAGTATGGAATACGACTGGGCCGTTACAGGATGGAGTGCTGGCTGTGCGCGACAGGGTTGCTACTATGGTTCGACTAGAGTTGTCCTGATGTTGCTGAGTTACTGATTATCATGGCAGATTTCAACATTACGGGCGAAGCGAATCTCACATCAAGACCTGCGACACCAGCCTTCAAAGCATACTGCGCGGGTGACGGCGAGGGTTCCCCTTACAGACTTTGTCAGAGGATAGATGAGGAAGACACCGATGCCATCGTTGTCGCGAAGCTTCTTCCAAGCAATACCACAACCAACGGCACGCGCCACGCCAAAATCCAGGTTTCTCTGAGATACACCGACCTCTATTCGTCGTGAGTGCTGCCTCGTAACTGTGATGCCCAGACGGAAGACAAGGTCGCTAACGCAAGGATAGTACGACTTGGTGGAACTTCACAGGGCGTGCGGTCTCGTTTTACAACCAATTCAGCGCGCCGTTGCAGAACTTCACCATCACCCCTACCGAGATCACTGGTGTGGCCTAAAGACTGCGAGGCCCAAGCCAGTCCCGTCCGATATCGAACTAGGTTCCGCGGGATCGGGCGATTGCAGACAGCGACGCTCGCGGTACCACTACGGATAGTCCAGGCGTCTGGACTCCTAAACGAGGAGGGACGGCTTTTGAACCGGGATATTCAAAAGTCGTACGTGGTGGGACTGTTGAAGGCTGCTACTTGTTCGCCCGTCACGAGAGAAGTTTTGTGATGGGATCAATCAGTGGCCAGATTTCGATAATGCGCACATAACGATGTTCCCACATGTTATGAGTAGGTACTACTTATACTGAGTGTGGCGAATGTACTTAATAATGACGGACTCTTTGGCGCCTGGGACAACAGTGCAGGCTATGTCCATTAATGAAATGCTTAATGAAGAATACATGGCGAATAATGGATGTGAAACGAACTTTGCCGGCCACCCGAACACTTCTTACAGAGAGCGGGATCTATGTATGCCCATCGACATCGCATATATCTATCTGTATGAGAGTCCATGGTATGGCAACGTAGATTGGCGATCTGAGTAGGATATGGATTTTTGTGTGAAAGAACTAGGTAGCCTATGCATCCTCATACCTAGTCAATAGCCAGTCACTTAATGACAACTTGACTTGAGTTGGATGAATCCGACATGATGATGATGGCTGGGCTTCAACAGGCGGGAGCTCAGATACCCAGCGCTGGAAATGAGTGCCGGCAGCTGTCCGGCGGGGCGTTGGCGCTGAGAGCAATCATATCCATGTGCTGATATAAATAGGTACCTACCTAGGTACATACTTAAGTTAAGTACCTGAGCTCTGCCCGAGAATCTCAGCAGGTAGGTACCTAATCCCAATCCCACGGGTGACTGCTGGCCAGTACCTCTATATACATAGTACTTTAGTAGGTACCTAGGTAATAATCTACGTAGTATCCTTAAGACACCATCACTGTAGACGCCCAGGATGGTCAGTATTCTGGTGCCTAAGGCCTGCGTGTCATGCTTGCGTTGGGTCCTTACGCAAGTAATTGTGGCTGATGCAACGCCGCCAAGCCTTTAGGTACATACCTACTACCTAAACGCTCAACTGGCAAACAGGTACCGCCTAAAAGTTACCTACTAAAGGTACCTACCTACCTACCTAGGTACCTACATTAGGTATATACTACTATACCCAGGTTAGGTACCTACAGCAGGCGGCAGTCTGGGCATTACATCAGTGCTCGGTGCTGGTCAGTGGAGAGCGGGCTCCATCCCCTCATGCCTCATCCTCTCCTCCCCCACCAAGCTTCCACCACGTCGAGCTGACAGCTGGAATAAGGCGGATTCTCGTCTCTACGTCTCCATTGTATTCTCCCCAACTTCCTGACGACCGTGACCGATCCCATCCTACATCGCGACCACATCGCGACTACATCGCCTAAAGTGAAGCCTAATTCTGGCGGGCTAGCTGGCTATATTACCGCTGAGCTGCTGCTACCTACGTACCTAGTCTTACACTGCGTCTCCATCACTGCGCTCTTTCAACAATCCCCGACCTTTTCATTGCTTCCAACACTTCCGAAGCCTTGTGCAGAATCGCAACCAGCCGAACGGATTGCCCGCGGCACACTCTCCACGCCCATAACTAACGTAGATAGCTTCCCTAACTATCGATACCTCCCATTGACCCTCAGTTACAAAGATATTTCCAATCATGAATGTGCTCAAGCTGCAGAGGTATGTCTGTCAACCATCGCCTGTCCCGCCAATCCGCCCCCTTTTCCCCAAGCCTGACTTGTGCGACTAGGAAATACCCTCAATTTCAGCAGGGTGATATCTTTGGCTTTGCCGATGCTTTCCGCAAACTCGACGCCGATGACAAGGGCTATATCGATGAGGCCACCGCCATCAAAGCCACACAGGCAAGCGAGAGACAACCTTATGATGTTGTGCGACAAGCCTTGAAGGAGGTTGAGCTAGACTCATCCCGCAGAGTAGAATTGGAAGATTATGTCGGCGTAAGTCGGCTTGCTGCAGCCCGCGTTTTTCATTACGAGAGCGTATATTGACTTGTTTTAGCTCATCGCGAAACTGCGCGAATCATCACCTGCCCAGAAACGCATGAGCACAGGTGGTAGCAACCCTCCTCTATCTCCAGTTGGTATAGTTGCCCAATTAACTGGAAACGGCCGCCATGGTAACGGTCGCGGCCATGCCCCGAAACCCAGTGCTGGCAAGATCCATGTCGGTTCGTTTGCGAATAGCACCCACACCATCAATGAAGATGAGCGAACCGAATTCACGCGCCACATCAATGCTGTTTTGGCGGGTGATGAGGATATAGGACATCGTCTACCCTTCCCAACAGACACCTTTGAGATGTTCGATGAGTGTAAGGACGGCCTAGTGCTCGCCAAACTTATTAACGATAGCGTACCGGACACGATAGATGAGCGTGTGTTAAATGTACCCGGAAAGAAAATCAAGAAACTCAATGCTTTCCATATGACAGAGAACAACAACATCGTCATTGAGTCTGCCAAGGGTATCGGTTGTTCGGTTGTCAACATCGGTAGTGGCGATATTATTGAGGTTCGAGAACATCTGATCCTGGGTCTGATCTGGCAGATCATCCGTCGAGGTCTTTTGGGAAAGATTGACATTAAGCTCCACCCAGAGCTGTACCGTCTCTTAGAAGAGGACGAGACGTTAGAACAGTTCCTACGCTTACCCCCTGAGCAGATCCTTCTGCGATGGTTTAATTATCATCTTAATGCGGCTGGCTGGCACCGCCGGGTTTCGAACTTTTCTTCCGATGTAAAAGACGCAGAAAACTACGCCGTTCTACTCGCACAAATCGGACGCGACTATGGCTGTACCCGAGCCCCTCTGCAGACCCGGGACTTGAATCAGCGGGCTGAGGAAGTTTTAGTCGATGCTGACAAGCTAGGTTGCCGGAAATTCCTTACCCCGAAGTCTCTAGTCGCCGGAAACCCGAAACTCAACCTTGCCTTCGTCGCCAATCTGTTTAACAATCACCCCGCGCTAGATCCTATTACAGAGGAAGAAAAGCAAGAAGTGGAAGATTTTGATGCTGAAGGGGAACGAGAAGCCAGAGTGTTTACATTATGGTTGAACAGTCTGGACGTACAACCAGCTGTAGTGTCCTTCTTCGACGATCTTCGTGACGGTACCATCCTGTTGCAAGCCTACGACAAAGTAATTAAGGGCTCCGTAAACTGGAGGCACGTGAACAAACGCCCAGCTACTGGAGCAGAGATGTTAAAATTCAAAGCCGTCGAGAACACAAACTACGCCGTCGAGCTTGGCAAACAGAATGGTTTCTCTCTAGTTGGAATTCAAGGTGCTGATATTACTGACGGACAGAAGATGTTGACACTGGGTCTGGTCTGGCAGCTCATGCGAAAGAATATCACTCTAACATTGTCCGCCCTAGCTCAACGTCTCGGCAAACGTGAAATCACAGATGCCGAAATGGTGCGGTGGGCAAATGAAATGTCTCAAAAGGGAGGGCGAAACTCGTCAATTCGTTCCTTCAAGGATCCTTCTATCGGCAGTGGCATCTTCCTCCTCGATGTACTCAATGGCATGAAGAGCGCTTATGTCGATTACGAACTCGTTACCTCTGGACGTACTGATGAGGAAGCTTACTTGAACGCCAAGCTTAGCATCAGTATCGCCAGAAAAATGGGTGCCACAATCTGGCTAGTACCCGAGGATATTTGCCAAGTTCGCAGCCGGCTAGTAACAACATTCATTGGTAAGAAGCATCCACGTCATTAACCAGGGGGTCTAGTAACTGACATAATTTCTTCAGGTTCACTCATGGCCACCTATGAAAAGATGCAGTAAATGATCTAGGCGTACTCAATTAATTACGAGGGGATTAACTGGGACATAAAATTTTACTGGGGTATGACGGTGGTACGTCTAGGTTCTCGGGCTTCAAGCCCCATGTATTTTCTCAGGCGCAACTTGGTATGCAAATTCAAACACAATAAGTGCATAACACCTTGTACTTCGCTATTGTAGAAGCGGCTTATGGTAATGACCGGTGAGCCGAATATCTTATGTACATACTGTAAGAAATGCGTTGCTACCCCGCTGTTCTGAGAGAAGCTTGTGCTTATCCCACGTCGGTAGCCAATCAAGTCGTATAAGTAAGTGGCTTTGTCGAGTTGGGGCACTGAAGTTCCGGCAACAAGGATCCGACGTCAGACCACTCCGTAATAACTTCTTGCCACCCTAGGTATCTTTAGCAAAGTTGATAGTCGGGCTATCGATCGGTCGACGAAACAGACCGAGTGCAACGTGCAACGTCACCTGTCCGGAGCTACTCGAAGGTCCACGTCGCCGAGGCTCGCGCTCTCGATATAAAGTGCCGAACAGTCCCAGCCGACCGACACAATCCCCTATAGCTACCTATATGACTGCCTTTGTCGCATTTGCCAAATAACATATAACTTTGAAATACTCAATACTTCTTACATGGTGAGGAACAGAATATAGCAAAATTGATTGGCACTACGCTTTTCAGAGCCCAGCGCTGAATCGTTCGATTTCAGATATGAATTTAAGTTTACCACTTTATCTTTGAAAACTAAGTTGTCATCAAACCATGTCAACAGAGCAAATAGCCTCAACATCTCCCAGTAATAAAGGGTACCATGCTCGACCAACTGAGGAGGACCCTATCACTATAGGCCAGGCCCCAGAGGCCATAACGAGCGCTTTCCATAGTGCAGAACGCCCTATTCATACATTATCAGTCGCTAGCAGCGAAATAGAGAGAACGGTTGGGAAGATGCGCCCAAGGCCTGTTTCACTACAGCGTGAGACAACTGTCGATTCGAACGATACCTCGGCCACTGAGGCATTCTTGAATGAGTCAAGCTTGGACTCAACGCCAAGTTGTGAGGACCAGTCTCTATCAGTCAAAAGCCATAATACGAATGGCAATACCTCAAACAATTCAAGCTTGCAGGATCCATTAAAATGTACCCTGAAAAAGGTGAGATCGAATCATTTGAGCTATATTTTTTTCTCTTTATATCCAATTTATACGCCGCGTCGGCAACCATCACCCATGGCTGACGGAATAGGTGCGAAGCGTGATCGAAACAAGGGCACGCATTCTACAAATGGCAAATTCAGGGAGTTGCTTTTCACGCGCCAGTTTTCAACCTTCGATAGGCAGAATCAGCATGCGGCGAATAGTCCGTTTTACGGCTTCTACGTCCTGTTTTGGATTGCGGTCGTGTTCTGGATTATAAAGATGGCGGCAGACAATTGGCGGAAGACGGGCAGCCCCTTGGGCAAGAACGAGATTATGAAGACTATGTTTCGCCGAGATGGTGAGTCTTCCCTCCCTTTAGAACACCCGTGGTCAGTATCAGTGCTCTACATCGTGGCAGTCCTATCTCAGAGCTACTGTTACCATACTACAGTGGGACACAACACCACTTAGTTCTAACGCAGACAGTGGTCGTGCTTTTTATATCGGACGGCATTATGTGTACATTAACAGGTGTGAGCTGGATCATCCAGCGCCTTGTTGCTCGTGACAGCCTCGACTGGGATACAACGGGATGGATCATCCAGAACGTGAGAGTTGCTTCTTACCCCCTATTGTCCCCTCACAGTATTGATGAACGACTAGATTTGGCAATCCCTATTCATCATAGGCGTGGTGGGATTGACTTTGGTTCGTGATTGGCCGTGGACGCATACAGTGTTCTTTGTGTTGCACGGTCTCGTCATGCTCATGAAGCAACACTCATATGCGTTCTACAACGGCTACTTGTCTTCCATCCATAAGAAGCGGGAAGGCCTCCTTGCGGAACTGAAAAAGCTCGACAGCATGCAGACCGTGGCGGGGGAGTCCACAACTTCGCCTCAGACGTCTGAGCTCTCAACTTCCCACTTGGATCGCCGTCCCTCAGCAGCCATGTACCGAGAAAGGAGAAACTCCATAGCACAGTCACAGTCGAACGAGCCGGACGATATAGAAAGCATTTCACGGGCGATCAAAAGCGGACAACCTCTTGATCTTGACCAGGCCATGATGTTTGAAAGGCTTATCAAGTAGGTTTACCCTTTCTAATATACCTCATCTTGTAGCGCTTCCTATGCGTAAGAGAACGCAAGTAGCTTGGCGCAAGAGAGCGTGAAGTACCATAATACCAACAAACTCGCAGATGGGAAATCGATGCTTTAGCCGATGAGCTCAAGGGCAAGGCTACGCAGCCCTCGCACTACTATCCTAACAACTTGAGCCTCACGAATCACTACGAGTACATCTTCCTCCCCACCGTGGTCTACGAGCTGCAATATCCACGCTCCGACAGCATCAACTTTCTCTACGTAGCCGAGAAGGCGGCGGCTACGTTTGGCGTGATCTTCGTCATGATTATGATCTCGCAGACTTTCATTTACCCTGTCGTCGTTCGCACTGTCGCGATGAAGGAAATGGGGTATACCACCGCGCAGCGGTTCGCCGAGTTCCCTTGGATGCTGAGCGATCTCGTCTTTCCGTTCATGATGGAGTATTTGGTAAGTCTGGCCATCCCCCAAATAGCAATCAGGAATCCTAGGAAATGAGAAGAGCGTTTCTGGTTTGTACGGATCGAGGTTGAGAAGAGGACACGACTGATGCTTTTGTTTCTACCATTATAGCTCGCGTGGTATCTCATCTGGGAAACCGTACTCAATATTCTCGCCGAGCTTACATTCTTTGCGGATCGTAGCTTTTACGACGCATGGTGGAACAGTGGTATGTGCTTCTCATTTATCTGGCTCACCTCCTTCTCCCTTTTTTCTTCATATACACATATTGCCACTTTCATAGTCGTCAACCTGTAAAGCCGTCTTTACCATCGCCCGCTGCTCGTAACATAATTGCTCAAACACCCTCTGTGAATCTCAGTGACTGACGACCCGCAAGTATCTTGGGATCAATTTGCGCGCGACTGGAACCGGCCGGTACACAACTTCCTCCTGCGGCACGTGTATCACAGCTCGATCTCCACGATGCGCGTGAACAAGCATACGGCGACGCTTATTACCTTCTTCCTGTCGGCGTGCGTCCACGAGCTGATAATGTGGTGCATCTTCAAGAAGCTGCGCGGCTATCTTCTCGCTATGCAGATGTTCCAGCTACCCCTCGTGCGCCTGAGTCGCACGCGTTGGTTACGCGATAAGAAGGTGTTAGGGAACGCTATTTTCTGGACGGGCATATTGACGGGCCCGAGTCTGCTGTGCAGCTTGTACTTGATCTTGTGAGCGTATGCATCAAAGGTGTTTGGGGGGTTACTGGGCATAGAAGTTGAAATAGATTAAGAAGATTCAATGGTATGTTGAATTTCTGGCGACTAGAATGTTCCTATTCTAGAGACAGATACTTACTTGGGTATTTGTAGGAACTAGACAATCAGAGCGAGAGAAAATTTATGTAATAATGATCTATGTTCTAAGGTGGCATATACATGGAAGGATACTACTTGAATCTGAGCACATAGGCAGACACGTTTGCCCTTCTTCGAGGTTTCCGTAAATATTCAATATTACTTCCGAGAGTGCACTGGAACTTCCGTCTTTACTCAGTTTCAGTGCGGTCAATAAGGGCTTTCAACCTCTCGTCAGTCTCGTAGTCACGTAACGCCACCTCTCTCCATGTCACCCATTCTTGATCGACCCCGAAGACCTTTAGTATTGCGTTTGCCAACGGCAGAGCGTATGACCACTTAGGCTCCAAGGCCAGGCCCCAGAAAAATCTCCTCGCTTTTTCATCAACCATACAATTCGCTAGCTCAGGCGATCCCCTCTCCTTCAGTGCATCCGCTAATGCGATATCGTCGCCGCTTAGAGAGACCTCGCCCTGACATAACGCGCTCATATCCGCGGTGACAAGTGATGGTCCGAAAGCTTCACGTCGAGGCACAAGACGTGCCATTTGCCAGTCAATAACCCCAGTGATATTGAGATTCTCATCGAGTAGTATGTGGTCGCCTTTGTCATCGACATGCTTCAGAAAGAATTTCTCCGGAGCCCGTGCTTCCGAGGCTCCTTGGGCCAGCTGTACTGCATTGTCTTTAAGAAAGCGATACACCAAGTACGCATCTACAGGATACTCCGTATAGAGCTGATCATCCGCAATCAACGCCAGATACTGCTCAGCAAAGGCAGTATAATAAGAAAGGGCAGTATCAAATGGACCTTGTGGCGTAAGGACGACAAATCTGTCACTCGCTACTTCCGAAATGCCGATGCTGGATGATTGAAGGCACAAAGACCCTGCCTTTGGCCACGGGTGCTTTTCCAACTCGGCCAGGATATCAGCGACGGCATTCCAGACCTTCAGCTTCTCATCTCGTGTAGCGTCTTTACCAGAAACCCCTTGACCTATCCATGGCCGGCCGGGCAGTTCCTCTATGAGAAGGAAGCTTACGCCGACACCGTAGTCAGTACCATCACTAGCAATACCGTGACTAAAAGCTCGCGGCGCTGGCACTGCAGTAGTCTCAAGGAAATTCAAAGTAGCGTATTCGCTGCGTACGAGGTAATCTGCTAGCGAGACTGGAAGACCAACAGCGGCGCTCGCAATCCGCGGAACTCGCATGAGCCAGGAGGGAGAACCGTCGTGAAAGCGGATGCGGGCATGATAATTAGCGCATCCCATGAGAGCGCCCGGCTCAACTTTAGAGGAATGCTCGATATGGCAACTTCTACCGCCATTTAGTTCGGACGCGTGTCTACATACAGCCGCGTCGTTGATCATAGAGCGGAGACGATCGATCTCGCTCATAATCTGAGACTCCCAGGCTGCGTCGTCTAAGACCTGCAAAATTCTCGCGTAAATAAGGGATCCTTAGAGTTCCATGATGAGTCTCGGCGAAGAAGATGGAACGGAGGCCGATTTCTCTTACATCACTACACATGTGGAAAGAAGGAGACCTGTGAGCAACGCACAATTGGCGGTTACAGTTATCACAACCACCAGTTCCCCTAACGCTTGGCCGTTCACATTCTGGCACCGAGCAAGTGAAAAACCTGGGTGTCATTGTGTTTATGGCTGGTTGTCTTAAGGTGTGTAAAGTCGATGGATGAACACAGACGTTCGGGAAACATACCTACGTTGCCTTCCAATTAAACGGCTACAGTCATAAAGCATGTTGTCCCGACAGACTGGTAGTCAAGGAGGTTGTTGAATGTGATTGGACGGGGATTAGAAATGATCATCCCGGAGGGGCAAAAATGTGCACTTGAGCCGTTTTGGAGATGTTCTTTGCCAAGGGGTATGAGGGAAAGGGTCACTAGCTGAAAAGGTTCTCATCCGTCGTATATACAGGACTTTAGCTACAGCCTTTTTCATGTTTTCAAGAGTATCCTGTGCGGGAAGAGAGGAATCTAAGCCGATGAGACATGCGTGCCCTTCAGTCTGGTTAACACCATCATGAGCGTATACATTGTACGAGGCTTGTGCTTCCTAAGCATGAACTATATGAACGGTACCTATTGAACAAGATTGCATTACATTTAAGAATATCATATCTACGAGGGGGATTACCTTGGTGTAGCATTGTACTTCGGCTTATTATAGAGCAATGTGTTGGGGTATTTTCAGATTTTGAGCAAATAGAATCTAAGCTCACTATACCGAGGTTCATGCGAATCTGGACCTTAGTAAATGGAACGTTCGTTGAAATCAGTTCTTAACTATTTCGACCACTATCTACTTACGTAGGGTAGGGCCTCACGTCGCTATACATTACGACGTAGATGATTGAGAATCACGAAGTTATGAGAGCTTCAACTGTTTGATTCCTTTAGCCCTTGCAGAACGCCTGGGTGCTGTTGTATGATTGCATATCTACATATGAGCTAACTAATTAGTTAAGTAGAATGGAATGTAGAGAAAATATTAATTGAAGGTTGAGGAGACAATCATGTGACAGGTGTTCAGTGTTAGCATGGCAACCATGGTGTTGGAACATTGTCCCGGTTTTCCAGGCATATAAGTTAGTGCCAGTGTATCGGAGGCCGGATTGACCTTTCAATATACAGATGACAAGCTTCAAATATATATATATATATATATATATATATATATATATATATATATAGGTATATAAAGGGGCTTTAGGTAATTTTAGACGTAGACGGCTCTCAAGATATATCTACAAGTGATACCTACGGCGATCGTACAAGGTAGCGTGATCGTCGGATAATAAATTGAGACATTGGCCACTAGTAGACGTCATAGTGGGGCTAATCCGCATTGGGCAATCAAGCTCCATGGTACAATGGGGCCCGAGGATCCCCCGGCTTCTGGACTTGAGCTGCACGCCAACCACTGTCAAACTTTCTCCAGTACTTGACCGAAACACTTCTTGACCACGGAGAAGCTATTTGTTCCGCCATCCACGCTTCTGACGTGTCATCACGATTAATACCTCCAGCTTCGCTCTCCCATCGAGGCTGGTCTGACTTTGATATCTAGTCGTCTTTTCCTGCTTTGCATTTCCCTCTTTTTACTCTGTCAAACAAACCACGTCAGACGCCATGTCTCGAGGTGGCACCACCCTCTACGTGACTGGCTTCAGCCAAGGCACGCGTGCTCGCGACCTCGCCTACGAATTCGAACGGTATGTCAGCTATCCTCGTCGTCCTCGTCCTCGTCCTCGTCCCCGCGCGCGGTGAGATCGATCGACCGCCCAACTTGCGGAAACGGTGTCCGATGCCACCACATCTGAACATGTGCCTCCTCGTCCACCCATCCCGGGACGGTCCTGCCCGTCTCCCGTCCTCCGTCTCCGTCGTTCTTGGCTTCGTCGCGTCCTCGAGCCGTCTCATTGTCCAAGCTCCCACCTTCCACGCCCGCCCACCATCCATTTCAGTTGTCCCTTCCCTGTGATCGAGCGGTCGAATAAATCACCAGTTGCATCGCGCGCGCCGAGTCGCCTGTCTGTCGTGGCAGGACAGCAAAGCTTAACGCAGTCGATGCGATTCATTGGGAAAGTACTTCATGTTTTGTGAGATTGCTGACTTTATCACCCGTAGCTATGGCCGCCTAGTGCGCTGTGATATTCCTGCGCCTAGAAGCGCCAGTAGTCGCCTGTAGGTTTTACTTGGCCTCGTTATCACCGACACTCGGCATATGACTAATGGGAGCAATAGCTTTGCCTTTGTGGAGTATGAGGATCGACGGGATGCCGATGATGCTTATCATGAAATGCATAACAAACGCATCGGTCGGGACGATGTCCTGAAGATTGAGGTATGGACCACACTTCTGGCCTTCATGTCCAAGTTTTAACAAGTTACACAGTGGGCTCGCACGCCTCCCTCAGCCTCTTGGCGCTTTGACTCTGGTCGTGATCGCGATCGACGTGACGGCGGTCGTGGAGGTAGGTCTCCTCGCCGTGGCCGTTCACCCTCTCCTCGTCGCAGCACTCGCGAGTACTCTCCAAGGAAGGATGATCGCCGCGACCGTGACCGTGACCGAGACTACGACCGTGACCGCCGTGACACGCGAGACCGTTCACGTAGCCCAGACACTCGGTAGGTGATATGCTCTTCCCTAAATAGGATATGCCCGATTGTGAGCTAGCTCTGACTAAATGTAGTGACCGCGATCGTGACGACCGCGATGATCGTGATCGCCGAGAGAATGGCACCAATGGGGATGACCGCAAAGGTATGTGCTTCAACCAATTATTTTTTGGGGCAACTCAGCTAACCCTTTTACAGCTGTTGACAGCCCTCCACCTCAACATGACGACTTGGATGTCGCTGACTAAAGGTACACACTTAATTTGCGGCTGTAGCCTACGCATCTTGTCCGGGACTACAAAAAAAGGTTTTTACGTCACAGTGGAATTTCAGTTTCCTTTCCCGTTGGACTGTTGCTCATCGTCTAGTCATTTTTTACCGCCGACATATCTTCGCAGTTTAAGAACGATAACAGAATAACTGTTTTCCTTTCCAAGGAGCGGGCCGTATTTGTCAAGTTGTTAGGTAGTACAATTCATTTCCTTTTTGTGTATACTGGTACACGAGTGCCCCGTGATCTATGGGACGTTCTCTCATAATCACCTGATGAGGATAATGCCGCAATGAGATCGTGTGCACGTACCTGTAATAGTAGATCCAAGTTGGCCTGGAATGCAATCTAAAAAGGGTTCGTGTGGGTGTGTGGCCGAACTGAGTTGTTATTCAACAGAACCTAAACGTAGCCTTTTGCTGATTACCCCTGAACACGTAAATGAGTACGAAATGCAATCTTCATACGATTCGGAGCCAATACTCGATCAGTGTTGTTGCAGTTGGTTGGGTTAGGGGTTAGGTAGTTGAAATGCAATAGTGTCCTATAGTCGTTTGGCGATTGGCTATAGGTAATCTGGTTACTAGGTACCTACCTAATCTAAGTACCACGTAAGGACTACTGAGCAGCGAGATTTAGGCCGCGCTGCTCACTGAAGATGATACTCATCTTGTTATACTGATGTGTCATGTCAATAGCAACACGTTTCCGATATCAAGAGGCAGAGCACCGCGATAGGCCAAGCGCGAAGAGTAGACTTTGAAGCTTGGTGTCCGCCGCCTACTTACGGTATGGTATGTCTTTTATTTAAGATGAAACATGCTGCTAAGTAAATTCTGGTGGCCATGTCTGCATTCCACATGTAAGCGGTAACTATATCCGAAGCTGCGCATTGTTTAATATACGTAATATGTGGTTGGGTTCTAGAGAACCTACTTACACATACACAGTACTACACACATCACATATTTGTATGCATGTAAATACCCAAGTACCTACTACTAAAATCAAGTATATACTTAAGTTACTATAGGCAGGTAGGTACCTAGTTAGTTATTAATAGAAAAAGTAAAATAGAACTACCAAACCTCTTTTGCAACTACCTAGCTACCTATTTTGTCTGTCCCTGAGGCATGTAGATATGTATTGATCTCTACGTAGTTCCCTCGCTCAACGACCAGACAATGATGCTGTTATTTTCCCTGGTAGGGAGAAGGGATCGGGGCCTTGTGACAAGTTCAATCCATAAAACGAGGCAAGGGGAGTCGTCGGTCCACCCGACCAAGGTCCCGTCCGATCGTCCACCTCTACATACATAGGTACATACATACCGTACATACTTAGGTAGGCTGGGTACTTCGTGGTGTAGTACCTCTTGAGCGTATCGACATACATAGAAAAACGCTTACATACTTTATACATATGTATACATGCACACTATTTGCACTACCTCACATACTTACCATGCGCTACATGCAGATAGTCTGAGATAGGTAACTAAATTTTCAAGCAAGTTCTCAGCCGCCCGCGCGCCCTGCAACCCGCCTTTTACCTCATGATGACCATCGCCGGCACCAACGCTACTTGTTCGCATTGTACCTACGCTACGTGCGGGAGAGGTGAACTAATCTTGATTGATCTTGATCTTGTGACTATCACCAACTCGGCCTAATAACATCAGCCGCCGTTTGTTCCTCACCTTTTCATTTCTGCACTGCTCCTTTCCCCCGCGACATCTGCTCGCCCCGTCTTTCGTCTGATAGATTTCACGGCGCTCGTTTGCCTCTCGGCATCCAACACCGACTCCACAGCCTCCCCCGTCATCGATAGCCGATCTAAGTCCCGATCAACCTGTCAAGCGACGACGATTCCTGCAGCGACGACAGCACCGCATTGTTCGCCCGCATTTGTCCATCTGTCTGAGCTCTTCGCCATCATTCTCGTCCCGTCTATGTTAGAACTTGCCGCTACCTTCCCGGACAATCGACTATGTCGCCCAAATTACTAATTCGCTCCTAACGAAGATCGTGTGCTGTCGTACCAGTCGACCAAACTCTCACTGCCCACTTCCGCGCGCGCATACCTGTTGTTTTCTAGAGGAGCCGTTCTTTGATGCTCTCATAACGAACCACGACACTACTTTCTGCCGTTCGTGACGAGGCAACTACCTCTCTTTGGCTGCGGCGCCTCTTTGATCCTTGCCATCCAATCAGACTTCGAACATGTCGCCTGTATGTCTCCTGGGCTGGCTCGGCAGTTCAGCAACCCATATATAACCTTCATCTTAGCCAAAGCTGATTGTTGGTTCCAGATTTCCGAAAATGCCGATGCCGTAAAGGCCAAGTTTGCGCCGGCGAACAGGACGGCCCAATTTCTCGACTTCGTCTCCCAACCAGTAGTCGCGGCTTTCTGTGCCGGTGGTGTCGCCGGTGCCGTCTCGCGAACCGTTGTATCCCCGCTCGAGCGTCTCAAGATTCTGCTACAAGTCCAGAGCGCCGGACACAGTGAATACAAGTTGTCGGTTGGCAAGGCGCTAGGAAAGATGTGGAAAGAGGAAGGTTGGAGAGGCTTCATGCGCGGCAACGGCACCAATTGCATTCGCATAGTTCCTTATTCTGCTGTGCAATTCGGGAGTTACAATCTCTACAGAAGGGTGAGGCTGCCCTCCCTTCTTTACAGGCGTCTTTATTTATTTTCCAATCCACTTCATGATTGTACATTTTCAGCACATTTCTGACGCCATTCCAGCAATTCTTCGAAAGGGAACCAGGTACAATCATGGGTCCTCTTGAAAGACTGGTCTGTGGTGGCATAGCAGGTATCACCTCTGTCTTCTTTACATATCCACTTGACATCGTTCGGACCCGGCTTTCCATACAGACGGCCTCTTTCGCTGCGTTAGGGGAAGTGCCCAAAGACAAGCTTCCTGGAATGTGGTCGACTATGGGGACAATGTACAGATCTGAAGGCGGTATTGGAGCATTGTACCGTGGTATTATCCCTACAGTCGCCGGCGTGGCTCCATACGTATGCTTGATCCCCAGTTGGCTCCCTTAAGAAGTCAAAACATACTCGTCATTACTTACCATCGTTTAGGTCGGATTGAATTTCATGACATATGAATTTGTTCGCAAGTATTTGACGCCAGAGGGTGAGCAGCACCCTAGCGCAGCGCGAAAACTTCTTGCAGGTGCAGTCTCCGGTGCCGTTGCGCAAACCTGCACATATCCCTTGTGAGCTATTGTGACATTCTCTATTGGCGCATCGAGCTAACAGTGAGTTTCAAGTGACGTATTGAGACGGAGATTTCAAATCAATACCATGTCTGGCATGGGTTATCAATACAAATCGATAGGGGATGCTATTCGAGTTATCGTAGCCCAGGAGGGCGTACGTGGCTTGTATAAGGGCCTCGTTCCCAATCTACTTAAGGTTGCTCCTAGCATGGCTGCTAACTGGCTCAGCTTTGAGCTCACTCGCGATTTCCTCGTAGGACTGAAGGCAGAACCCCTCAGCTTATAATATGCTGAGACTAGAGCACGAAAGAAAACCGAATACCCGCCGACTCGGCGTGCATATTGTCGAGCCTTTGATTCATGGGACTATACCTTTACTTCGCCCTTATCTATCGATATCGTCAAGCGACGAATGGCAAGAGATGGTCCAACCAAGACAGGCAAGGCGTTTAAAATCGACAACGAGAGTTGTAGAATGCTAGAAGAATTGGCAACCCTGGGCCTAGGATGGGTTTGAGACATGATAGACACGCAACAGCACTGGCAAGCAGGATTTCCATAGCGGATTCAATTGTATTAATCGCTAGAGGTTTACGTTTTAATGTATACAGGCGGCTCAGCGCATCTTAAATAGAATCTTTGGGGATAAGGCTCACGAGCCTGGCTAGCATATAGATGAACCGGTTACACAATACCTACAATGTATATATGGATCAAGGGATTACATCGCATAGCTAGGTACATACGTGCGAGGACAAAAACAATGATATATCCACCCTGTCACCTTTAACTTAAGCACAGGTTAGGTGCGGGTCGTAGTATGATACCAATATATCATACGAAGACGAACATGACTTTCGCAATAGTTACTCTACTGAATAGACGGGTGTCGTTTTGAAGCAGTTGTAAATTACATGTATAACTGTTGAAACCGCCAACCAGCATTGATCCATATCTTGAAAGCTGAGTAGGGGTAGCCTACAGTGGCTAGCACTAGCCAACCCCTACTGCCAGTCAGATTCATTCTTCATGGGCCCCACTCTTGATAGCAGCCCAATTATCGGAATTGCCGCTTCTCACCGCCCTCACCCGCACACAATCCCACTCCAATTCGAACTTTCGACCGCATCACAGGAAATTTCCTCCTCTATCGACTCCTACTAACCACCAACCACCACAGCATCCCGTCGACTCTCGAGATCGCCAACGAGTCACCGTCAAGATGGGTACGTTATTTCTGTGCAAAATATCATATACAAGTGGCATGTGTGTGTCGTAGAGGTTCTCCAACCTCGAATTGGCCCCATGCTGCGTCCTCGGGTATTCCAGTCTCTTGCGTTGAGAGGCGTTCACGATCCCGATATGAGTATATTGAACCAAAGAAGCTGACCTTTGGCGTTGCACAATCAAGGTATCGACGTGCCAGGAAAACACCACCTCCGTGGTACTCACAGAAAGGCGCCCAAGGTTCGTAGCTAGTCATCTACATTGTTCACACTTACCCAAAAAAACAACAAATCTTCAATCGCCGTTCCACATTTCTAACAAGAAAATACACTAACCCTTGATATCAAACATAGAGCGACAATGTGTACCTTAAGCTCCTCGTGAAGCTTTACCGCTTCTTGGCCCGCCGTACCGACAGCAGCTTCAACAAGGTAAGCTTCAGCTCGAACTCCAACGAGGCCCGCGTCTCAAATCCCACCATTGCAACTGCCAATTAACACTCACCCTCTCTCCAGGTTGTCCTCCGTCGGCTGTTTATGTCCCGCATTAACCGCCCCCCGGTCTCCCTCTCGCGTGTCAAGTCTCAGATCACCCGTGGTGACCAGGCTGACAAGACCGTCGTCGTTATCGGCACCATCACCGACGACAACCGCCTCCTCGAGGTCCCTAAGGTCACAATCGCTGCTCTACGCTTCACTGCCACTGCCCGTGCTCGCATCATTGCTGCTGGTGGCGAGTGCCTCACCCTCGACCAGCTTGCCCTACGTGCTCCTACCGGAAGCAACACCCTTCTGCTCCGTGGCCCCAAGAATGCTCGTGAGGCCGTCAAGCACTTTGGCATGGGTCCCCACAAGAACAAGGTACGGCTCTTTGTTACTTGGATGAGAGTCATCATACTAATTCGTCACTTCAGAAACCCTATGTTCAGTCCAAGGGCCGCAAGTTCGAGAAGGCTCGTGGTCGCAGAAGGTCAAGAGGTTTCAAGGTCTAAGCGAAAGCTTAGTTGGAGTTGGTCATGGGTCATCGGGTCTGTTCCAGTTATACCATCAGAGTATTCGCCTATTGAGAGAGCGAATACTGTGTTCAGGGCTGGTTTTAGCATTTCTGGCGTGGTTCGGTATCAGGGAAAAGCTTATGAATTGAGATATCACGCCATCCTTGTGGCACACCACCAGCTCAGAACCTCGAGGCCCTGTGAAAGAACTCGTGTCAAATCCCAATTGATGATCCTAAAGATTCGGTAGAAGCTTCGATGAATGATGCCGTACATGACTAATACTTGAATCCTGCTACTTATGTTATATTGGTGATGATCATTGGACCCTTATGTGTGAATAATATACTCTTGCTAAATCTGTGCCTAAGAAACCTAACATTGCGAGATTGAGCTGGTACTTTGTAGTCACATGATCTCGCGAGACTAAGACGCGGATCGACCCCACGTTAGTGAACTGAAGTTCGTCATCGCCAGATCAGGTCAGTGATCAAACAGACACATGTTGTATAACTTACTTAGAATTGTTAGAACGGAACACGAGTTTTACGCTGATCGGACTTCACGTCATTAATCTATCGACTCTTGCTGCGCTTGTTGACCAGGCTCCATCATTCTTCTGGCAGTGACACCTTGGCGGGGTTGCAGCTACCCGCAAGACTCTGAACAAAGCAATTATCTTTTAGAGCACGAGTGATGAGCGCATTTCATAAACCATAATCACGCATTGCGGAACACTCGCATTCAACCATTGGAAGATGTGTGGCCGATATGCGCTGGCTCTGGTAGGTGATCTGTAAAACGCACTCTTATAGATGATCACCCAATGGAATACATTGCCCGTTCCATCAATACTATTCAGCCCCATCTATTTTCATCATCTATTTTCATCATATCACAGCCTCAGCCTTGATTTTCATATACTCTTCATCATGCGCTCCACACCTGTCCTACTTGTGGCGACTGACTGACTGGTGCATAGTGGCCCAGCCAGATTCGGCGGATGCTAGAAGATGACAATATGCCTGTTTATGAGGCTCCTGATGACCCTGACGACGGCAACGATGAGAATGCTGGCGAAGATAGTGGCGAGCCGCGGGGAAGTGGATATTATAGTGGTCCAAGGCAGAGTTACAACTTCGCCCCGGGCTATCGAGGCGTGGTGTATCGAGCCGATGTTCCAGATCGGGGCGCGGGGCCTCAATCTCGGCACGACGGGCAAGATACCGATAATGAGCCTCTATCTTCTCCTAGCAAAGGCGCCAAGAAGCAGAGCAGCGATACAGACGAACAGCTTACTGCTGTAGAAAACAACGATCTACATTACAAACTGCAAACTATGAAATGGGGCCTCATTCCCTTCTGGACTAAGCGTAATCCCGGCTATGGCTCCATGATGAAAACCATCAATTGCCGCGACGACTCACTTGCGCAGAGTGGTGGCATGTGGAGCTCTATGAAGGGGAGAAAACGGTGTATTGTGGTTGTGCAAGGGTTCTACGAATGGTTAAAGAAGGATGGTGGTCGTGAAAAGATGCCGCATTATGTCAAACGCAAGGATGGTAAACTCATGTGCCTTGCAGGCTTGTGGGATGTTGTGCAGTATGAAAGTAAGCAAACCCCAAGTCCAAATCATCTGAGATCACCTTACATTCAAAACCCTATGCGCATTGCTGTTGATGTATCTTTTACCGGGCTCCTGAAATTCAACAGATATTAATGAGCGCTTACTAGACGACGATGAGAAACTGTATACGTATACTATTATTACGACAGATTCGAACAAGCAGCTAAACTTCCTGCATGATCGCATGCCTGTGATTCTAGAAAATGGCTCCGAGAAGATGCGGAAATGGCTCGACCCGAAACGTTACGAATGGTCAAAGGAGTTGCAATCGCTCCTAGTTCCATATGACGGTGAACTAGAAGTGTATCCCGTGAGCAAGGACGTCGGCAAAGTCGGTAACAATTCGCCTTCATTCATCATTCCCATCGACAGCAAGGAGAACAAATCCAACATAGCGAATTTCTTCGCAAAAGGTGCTGTGACAAAAAAGAACAGTAAGAATCTCAAAGAGGAGAGGGGCGGAGTAGAGGACATTCCAGATGCAGTGATCAAGCCAGAACAGCCAGAGATTGAAATCACCGAGACCAAAGGATTCAAAGCTGAGGACGACGTCGACGAAGCGGACGAGGCTAAAGTGAAATCCGAAGACATAGAAGGAAACGAGGACACTGAAAAGGTTTCTGCTGGTATTAAGCGAGAAGCAACAGAAGAATCCACGGGAGAGGAACCGCCCAAGAAACTAGCTACTGCGGCGTTGAATAAGAACCAAAGCGCGAAGAAGAACACAGAACAATCGTGGGGGAAAGGGGCCCGCAGGCAGAAGATCAGTGCCACGAGCAACAACAGCAGAAGTCCTACCAAAGCTTCAAAATCGGCGGGGACGCAGAAGATTACCAAGTTCTTCGCGAATAGCTCTTGATTTCTTCTGATCAGGGGTGTGCCACGTAGGAGGACTTCGAATGACTGGTTCCACAGGCCGGTTCATCTCGAAGCCGTGTATTGTATCTGTATCTATGTGTAGTATGCCTAGGGTTTGGTGTTAGCGAATATGACTTTGATTATGCTGCTTGGAAAAGCTGCTGATCTGTTGATGTTATCATCTTATATAGTACTTTTCAGAATATAGGTACACTTCCGCATCACCCTTGGTGATAGCATTCATTGAGTGTGTCGAAAGAAGCTTTCCGGCCTGACTCCTATGCACCTGATTCAACCTAATGGCAGAAGAGATAGTCATAACCTGTCCAGCCACTGGGCGTTTAGCGTGGGCGATGTTGGGATTACTAGCTAAGTTACGCGTGCTGGTGAGCTTAGAACTGTAAGGAGGCCGTTCCATCGTCGTCGTAAGTACGGGCGCGTCAGTCGAAAATGATGACTGAGTCCTCTTTTTGGTAGTTCCGGGTGGAATATGTACGTCTGGGTAGGATCGATGGCTGCACTACTGAAGCACGGGTATTCGAGAGCATTTGGCATTGGAACGGAACTTTAATATTAATTCGATACCCGTCCTCCTACTTCGAGAGCTACGTGGAAAATCTGAGAATTGAGATATTACTAGCTATATGACTGCGTGCCCGACTCTAGAGCCGCTCGCAGGCGGCTTTGTCACAAAGAGCTTGGTTCTACTTCGATACAGTCTTCAAGGTCCTTGAGACATGTAATCCTGCAACCACGATTCTCAACGCCTCTTTCTTGGTCTGTGATAGAACTTGAAACTTTAGTCGTGTAGCAGCAGCGTGACGAGCACTTACAGCAACTGCTCCTGACCGTGATGGTTAGTATACGAACTCTGTACCTTCCATTAAACTTCGTGGCTCGAACTTATACCGACGTGTAGTTGATTCTCACTGCCATTACAGTCTGCTACTAAGCCACGTCTTTACAATATTGTTCCTTATAGTTGTTGGTAAACATCTATATGACTGTCCTATTCTCGCGGGCGAGTGTCTATGTTGTTATATTGTCCACCCACAACAACATTGCTGTTATCAAACACACCGCGTTGGTCCTTGTTGTCCTTGTACTGAGTTCGCCTCGGTAAACACAACATCGTGTTATCGATATTATATCTTCCTCTCAAGCATACACAGGCCCAAAGTGTCCCGATCCCTCCATCATGTCGCGCTCTACGGCCCCGACGAGAACTCAACAAGTCAAAGCCCAAGATTCCAGGGAAAATTCGTGCGTGGTCAGGGTGGCTGAATGTCCGTTACTGAATGACAAAAAGCCCACCCACGCCCCCGGGACAAAAGGTGACTACCCCCTCCCCTTCAAAGCCCGAGAAATGTATCTGCGCTAATCCCAGATAGTTGACTTCGAAACCCTGGAGACAAGAGCGGCGGCGATCGGCCATAATTCCATGGGCCCCTCTCCTCCCACACCGGACAAAATCTGGGGGACACGGTCCTCTCTTGCTCAGTCTCCGCGCGACGAGGGGCCCATCCACCTCGCGCCCATCTCGGAGTCCCGGAGGCTGAAAAATGGCGAACTTGTTGTGTCAATTCGCGATCTACTCGGAGATCTATTGCCTCTTAGAATTGATCACGGATCCAAAGAAAGCGGAGTAAGGCTGGGGGAAGAGCGAGGGCGGCAGTCTTGCCCACACCACCGCTGCAATGAATACAGAAGTACACGACGACGCCGCCGAAGGATAGGAGGTTTTCGGGCTGGGAAAGAAACGCCTGCGCCCTATATGCGATCCTTTGATAGTCATGATGGCTTGGGAGCCCAACTATTCGACCGTCGACGCCGACATCATCACGGTGCTGAAACCACTTTCACAGATTATTTATATGTAAGCTAATTATACTTACTTCCACGACATGAAATCATGCTGGCGGCTGGGCTATTGTAGACTCAAAGTCTAAATCGGGGAGATATCTGACTTGGTATCTGGGGCGACCGCCAGCAAGCGAAATATATGAATTTTTGGAACCCAATCTCACTGGATTCGATATTTCTCTGACCAATCATACTTCTCACATGTGAAATGGTCGCCAATTCATCTTCTACTTTTTCTTCTATGTCACTTGAGAGCCTACCAGAAGCTGTCGCTATACCTACACTCTTATGAGACAGCAACAGTGCTCGGCCATGCCCTTCTTTTACCACCGCGGAAACTGTCTTGGTATGAGTGATAATGAATGAATATTTTATTATGATATCATTGTTGTAAACACTCCATTGGTCATAGGTACTAGAACGGAGTAAGTATGAAGAGAGAACATAGTATGCGTGAAAGGGACGCAGTTACAACAGGGATGATATAGATAGCTTATCATCTAGTGATATTAGGCCTCTGGTATCTCAGGATTAAATGGAACAACGCATCTTTGCACTTAGACAGGGTTGGGAAAAATACTATTAGTATTAATACTAATCTTAGTATATACTAATTAGTATTTAGTAAATACTAAATTAGTATATACTAATTAGTATTTAGTATTGAAATTTTAATACTAATTAGTATTTAGTATTAGGTTTTTAATATTAATTAGTATTTAATATTAGATTTTTAATACTAATTAGTATTTAATATTGGATTTTTAATACTAATTAGTATTTAGTATTGGATTTTCAATACTAATTAGTATTTAGTATTTATTAATAGTATTTTAATAATGCTAAATATTAATAACGCATCTCCCACTTGACCTGGCCACCCAATTGACCTGGCCACCCCACCAGCCCATACAAAAAACGTCGGTGCATTAATCACGTGATAATT